TAAGGCTAAAATGCAAGCTGAGAAGGATGCAGCTTACAAGAAGAAAATGGCACGGCTTCATGGTGGGATTCAGGTCGAGCGAGCTGAGGAGAAGCGGTATCTGCGGGATAAGGCCAAAGAGAAGAGAAGATCTGGGAAAAGATGATTTTACGTGTGTTTGCATGGCACTTGCCACGGATATTAGTTCAGAGTTTTTGGTATTGTTTCGTATTGATCGATTTAATTTGACATTTGGAGCCTCGAGCGGAACGTTGGGGTTTCATGGAATTTTACCATGTTAGGAACCATTTTCACGAAATCACAGGCCATCATCTGAGAGGCTTGTCGCCCCCTCTTGATAGCTGTATGCAGTATGTATGTATAATTCACATGCTGCGTGCACCAGCATTTCCTTTCATTTCCGTACTACATGTTCACTCATCTGGGATTGTTGGCTTGATACAACGGTAATTAAGATACATTTTCATTCAATTCCGCTCTCTTTGCCCGTTAAACATGACCCGCCCGCTTTAATTCACCTCCACCTTCGCTACCAGCATGTTCAGTGCTAGTCATGTCAAGTGCAAATTCATGCGCACAGTATTGCATGGTTCTGGATCCACGCAAGTCCACAATAGAACACTGATCTCAAAACTGAAAACACACATCATCTTGCAGTGATATAATGCACGCGACGGATCCTTAGGAGTCATTAGAACTAGTGACTAAAACCCATGTCCTCTCTCTCATCGAAGGATCCTTGACACATTCCCTGATGAATCTTTCATCTTTCTTGAGGCCTTTCATTATGTGGCGATCAACGAGCCAATCAACCCTGAGAAAGTATTGAAGAGTCAATGAAATGGGGCAGCAAAGTTGAGGGAAGAACTGGCTACCTTTTGACCCCTTCATCCGTAAATCGAGCCTTCCTCAAGTTAAGTTTAAGGGTGGCGTCGCAGTTCTGACGTGCTTGTTCCCCGACTCTAATTATAGATGAACTTCAATTACCAAAAACCGCGTTGAAGGCGAAAGCAAACCTCCGACGAAAATCCTCTGTTAAGTCCTGCCACTCAAGCTGGGTGGCACTCACATGGAGGGCCTATAATAATGGAATAAACACATGGGTATAGACGACAGGCTAGCGGACCGCACTTCATGTACTGCTTGAAGGACATCCCCGATGGTCACTGCCGCAGAGCTTTTCGGGTATTCTACGTCAATTTCCCAAGGGAACTTCTTGCTGATAATCTTCATACTGGCGCAGGGCGGATATGTAGCATCGGCTCTTAAATACTCATCACCTAAAGCCATTCGCCGGGGTCGGGTGTTCAGAGACGCATATTGGGGATATTCGCGGATATCGTAGTGAATGGTGACATCAGGAGATTGCTTGCGGTGCCCGCGCGACTGATGTGCCGGGTCAAGGACATGATGTAAGGAATATGGCCGGTTTTCCGTCCCCCCATTCGCGTAGGGTAAAGCAGCCCAACGGAGCGCCGGGTTTCCTCCATTGGGCACCCACCACTGAGGGTAAACGCTGGGCATCCGTAAGTTAGGGATTCTACACCAACGCACTGCGAGACAAACCGGTTTGGAGGGTTGCTAGCGGGGACTAAAGGTATCTGGTGATACGCTTGTACATTAGGAGGATTTGCTGGCGCTGCATACGCAGGATTGAGAACAGGCGCCGGAACGAGTCCGTAAGGTGCAGCCAAGACCTGCCCGGGAAGAGGGACTGCTTGAGCCCAATATGCCATTAAAAGCCTTTTCGGTGCGTAGAGGCAGCATGTACCAGGTGAGTCATAGGCACGTCGACCATTTGTGGAGACGTACAAACAGGAGGGTTTGCAAATGTGTCGCTAACAGCAGAATTTATGCCCAGCGCGAGGGGGCCGTGGACTGCACCACCTCAGGGATGGGTGATAAGCACAGTACGCCAGAGAACCTTATGGACCTCAAATGGGAATATATACGGCACGCAACTCCAATTGGCTCGTGATTATTCTCACGTCTGTCGGAACGCAGGGAAAAATCGGATGCTTCATGGTACTATGAAAGCGCCCACTAGACTCCAGCGCCATAGAGTGGCGCTTCCATTTAAGGCTTTGGTATCTGTCATCTGGAATACTTCTCAATTGGAGGGGCGTGTTAGAAGTCACATACAGAGGTCTGTGACAAACACTGAACGCAACGTGTTGGAAAGAAGGCATAACTATATAGTTGATCTGAATTCTTTCTCAGGTTCCTATTACAGGTATACGCCCCGTATATCAGGGCCCCCCGCGCGTCAAAGGATCAATCCAGATGGCTGACCTCCAGAATCGGCACAGAGGACACAGTATTGTGAATGTCAATCCACACATTCCCAGGTCATCATCATGTGAGAGACGACCTCCAGAGTGACGACCCTTCGAGTCGTACATACGCGACGGGCAGGCCCGTTGAAGAACCCCAAGCGGGAAGGTGCAACAAGGAATATCAAAATCAAACGAGCCCAATCAATCAACATGTGTTAGCTGAGATATTACAACTGAATTGCGCTCAAATAAATCCGGTACGGCTGCGTGTTTGGACAGTATTTGGGCAGTACTATTAGGTATGCAAGTGGCGACAGAAAGACGGTTATAGACGGATGAGACCGAGCACAGCCTGAACCATGAATTACAGGATGCGAGAAGACGGAGAATGAACTGGGCTTGAAAAGGTCATCTTTGCACGAAGGGCTGGTCGGATTTGTTGTGCCGTTCTCGATCCTATGTCTCGTTCAATCATGATGTCGTTTTCCTGCGGATGTGGGGGATACACAGTCAAGAGACTTTTCAAAGCGCTGGCGGTAATGTAAAAATCACAATGTCCGCAGCAGTGCCTTTGGAAGCTTGGCGTGACGGAAAAAGCGCGGTCACTTCCAGTGCCAGAAGCCGACCCAGAGGAATGCCCCTGTCAGTAAGGCCTGCGCATTTCCCAGAAAGATGAACAGAACCACGACCGGATAGTGGACAGCCGGCGCCAGATACAGCCGGACTTGCATGGAACTCTGTTGCACAAGAGGTTGAGGGTGCACCACGAGAGGATCCCTTCGACGTGGCAACACGAGACTGTCTATTGCATACATCAAGTCACATGTTAGGGAGATCAACTGTATTTACAATGTACATCTAAATCCCTTGCAAGCTGCAAACCAAACATTGTTGGAAATTGATGCGAGTCACCGGAGATACCCGGGGCGTATGTGGAGGATTTTGCTAAGCGCGAAGCGCGCACGGGAGTTACCTTATGTAGATTTTCCTCTCTGTTCATTCCTTTGTATATATGCGCACGGACAGTAACCCCAAATCACTAGTTATATTTCCCGCTTCTATCTTGCATCTGTGCTACGAATGACCCGCTGGGAGACGCGTTGCCTTATCTGGAACGCCGTTCATTATACATATATACTTTTACTCCATTCTGCACGGCTGCTCGATGGTGGGTTCTAAAGTTCTCTACAAGGGATGGGGTTCTAGGCTTGGAGCCACGTCAAGTGGGTACAGTGTTTACTGTCTGTGGCCCTGGCCACATTGGCGATAACTGTGGCCCAAACGTAAAGTGAAAACACAGGCATTAAATGATTATTATAAGTTCGTAAATTCATTATATCAGCGAGTCATTAACGATCTGTCACAGGCCCACAAAACTGTCATTGTGTCCGTTCGCATTCATGTTGATGTCAGCACCAGAACCCCAAGAGTTCGAACTAGGCATCTTGGAGACTGAAAGGATGTAATGCGGGGAAGTCCAGCATATTTCCTGTCATACTTCTTTGGGACCGGTGGCCAAAACCCAAGTCCTCTCCCGCTCAGCAGGATCATCAATACGTTCCGCAATAAACTCATCGTCCTTTCGTAAGCCTCTCATTATGTGTTCACCGAGGAGCCAATCGATTCTGTCAACGTTCAGAATGGCAGAATGAGCCGTTTGTCACTAATGCATCAAAATTGACGATTACATACCGCTTTATACCCTCCTGTTCGCGTCGGGGCTTCCTCAGCTTGTGAGCCGCGGCCTCACAATTACGGCGTCCCTGAGAAATAATCCTAATTTAAGGGATAGGAGTCAGTACCCCAGACAAGTAGGCTCAGCCAGAGAGCAAATGCGTACCTTTCCCGCCTCTCATCTGTCAATATCAACCATTCTGGACGGGTCACATTCATATGAAGGGCCTAAACCAAGGTTAAGGCTGAGCGTGGCTTCCACGGAACAACAGTAAAACGTACATCATGCACCGCTTGGAGGACATCTTCAACGGTAATCATGGTCGTAGCATTTTCACTTTCAACGTTGATCTCCCAAGGGAGATTTTTGATAATGATCTTGAGTCTGGTGCAGTAGGGATAGGTGGCTGGGCCCCTCAGGTCTTCCCTATTCGCAAATTCTCGAGCGGGGCGGGTGTCAAGAAGGGCGCGGCGAGGGCTATCCCGAATGTCGTAGTAGATGTTGGTCTCCCTCCGCAACTTGCGTTTCCACTGCGTCTCAACAGGTGCATCCAAAACGGGGTTCAGTTCCACGGAGTGTATTTCCGGTTTCGGGAGAGGTGCAGGAATCGGTGGATTGACTATCCCCACTGGGGCAGGAATCTGGACAATAAATGAGGTGACATGCCTACACGTCAAACCTTTTTGTTTCTGCATACCCGTTTATATTTGCCCCAGGTTGAATGAAATTTATCGGTCGATAGGGTTGTCCGTTAGGGACAAATGTTGGGGCCACAAATGGATTGTGGACAAGTTCGGGGATCAGTGGTGTTACAAATTGGCCCGGCGCTGGGTAAGGGAGATGTCCTCCAGGGGCAGCTAGAAATTGTCCAACTGGAGGCCGATAATTCGCTTGATTTGACATTCTTGCAGTGTTTTGGACGGCGAGCGTATTGTCTTTGTTCATCGCAGAGGATAATTAGTGAGGGAAACCATGTGAGTCATCGTGCAGATGATACCTAACAAGGCGGAAGAGCAACGAGTAAGAGAGTTCGACAGTGGACCACCCCGTTTGTCGAGATCCAGACATTTATATAGATCAGGAGGCTGGAGTGTGCCGCGGACACCCACACCCAGTGGAGCTCAATGCCGCGCTTTGCGCAACTGCGATATGATTCTCTGGCTTAATGAGTGCATCGCCTTGAGTGAATTCTTGCTCATGGCGTAAGATTTGACAGGCCCGGACTGAACAATACTTCATGTCCAAACTCGCAGCACAGGGGGTGTATATTAATGTCAACAGGGGGCAGTAGACGCCCAACCCTTTCACCGCCATTGATTACACATTTGTGTCACTGCCTCTCACTGTCAAGCGAAGCGGGATTATGTAATCCGGTCGCATTGGATGTCATACAATGGCGCTGACTCGAATCTCTATCTTAGGCTAAGGGACAGCACAGCGAATTAGACAGGGGCTGAGGGTTAGGTGGCTTATTTCGTTCATCTACTACTATAGCGTCGTATGTACTAACAACTCACCGTGGTGTTCCTGAGAAGCGACGATTGTCAGGACGGGGTTCTCCCCGAACCCGGCTGGAAATACTAAGGAGTTTGCAAGTCTATCCTTCATTCGACGATTGAAGCTAGACACTAGGTCGCTTGGCACCAAAACCACCAGAAGCAACAGCCGGGCAACCTGAAGGAAGTAACATATGACAAAGGTTGGATGTGGAGCCTCCTGACGTGTAGCACAATGTTTAAGATGACTGTAAAAGGATATAAAACCCCGCGCGCTTAGCAGAGAAGAGCCTTAGAACCTGCGGTGTATTAGGCATTGTTCATCAATTGGCTTATCTTTAGGAGTACGTTAGAATTAGTAAGGGGTCTTGTTTGTGGTGCCACATGTCAACGGGTGCGCGTGTTTTATTGGGTAAGACGAGATTGCAGGTTGGAGCCATGGTAATTGCCGATTCACACTGGGCGTTTGGACTCAAGCCCAATGGCCTTTGAATGGCATTCGTCCACTTTGCTCTGATAACGCGCTCTCTCCCGCGATAGCCCGTTCCAGTTGGGGCCGTCCGTGGAACAACAATCAAGCGGGCATTTGTAAATGTGCTTCAACGTTGATCCCATCAATTGCAGGTGTGAAAGAGATACCCCGCTGTACGTATGTTGTAAGCGGGAAGTTCATTCATGTCCGTAAGATCGACGAAGCTCGAGGAAGCCTTGTACCAGTCGGGCATGATCGGATCAGCCCCGCCGAGAGCACAACTTATTCACACTGTGCGAAAGTGCGATGGTTGGAGGTCCTCGTGATTCATTAGTACAGCAATCGCTAACAAGTTCACGTCCGAAAAAGCAGCCATGAGGTGGGATGGACTCGTGCCACAAGAAACGAACAAGTGATAACCATGGAATAACAGCACTTCCAAGAGTGGATCATGTACAGAATGTTCTAACAGAAGCGCCACCAAGGCATGAACGCTACAAAAAGAGATCAGGGTGCCGAGCATGAAGAAGCACGGTGTTCGAATATCACGCAAGGGGGCGCCCGTCCACACTGAAGTGATACCCCATTCGTAACGCAAACATCGATTTACAGCTACGAATCGACTAGATCCAAAGATAATTTGGTAAAGCCAATTTTCACGGTAACTGGCAGTATTCGTGTGCTTAGAATGTGTCGCTGGCACAGTGAAGCCATACGAGACATAATGCTAGCGAGAAGAGCTGGTTGCTCGAGCCCAGAATGTCACGATGTTCTGCCAACGAGCACTCTGCTGGCATATCGAACTGCTGGAATTCCCTGAAAAGAGGCCAAGGGTAGGGTACAATTATGATCCCATTGACTGGGAACAAGTTAACTTCCAAAACGGCATACAGTGATACTGGAGCCAACGGCGCGGGTCTTGGTTCCAAGCCACCAAGTGTTGGGTTACTGGATGCCTTGGCACGAACAGAGAGCGTCGAGGCACGGATTACTGGTGTGATGAATAAGTCAGCAACAATATATTTGAATGATACTGGGCGGCATTGTCAGGGTCCGCATCGCTGCTCAGTGCACGACCAGCCTCCGCGGGACATGCTCATAATACTGAGAGTGGAGCGCGGACCCGAACCACACCGAGTAAACGAGAAAACGCCCTTGCAGACAAACCGACCAACCCCGACGCGACGGTCCGGAGCAAGACCGTCGGAAAGGGAAGTTCCGTGCGAACCAAGCGCTTCATTTTAGCCCTACAGCGACTTGCTCAGCCTACCGTTGAGGTACGCAGGGCTTAACATATGGATTCCAATAGACTTATAGATGCGTATGGGCATTCTTCTGGACCATCATTCGTACTTGAAGCTGACCTTCCGTTCGTACTCAGACAATTTGACCGGGCTGTCGAAATCGTGCAGGGGTTAGATGTTTCTGGGCTGATTCATGACAGGGAGTCTCATTCCTATATTTCATAATGTAGCCTACCGAAAACTGGCCCCATCCAAACTGGCTATGAAGAGAAACTGGCACTGTACAGGTGAGTGAGTCATCGTGGAGATGCATAAGTGTACTGGCACCATCTAAGCATGGTTCCGCGGGGAGCGCTGTAGTCTGTATAAACAAGGTTGGTCCCCGATATGCACATTATTTTCAGCATGCTCATTGGAATGTTTTTCCAGCTACGGTTGGGAATGTAAAGCAATCTCGACCAGGCATGTGGGATATGCTCGGACGAGCCAAGTGGTGAGCAGCAGCGTTGAGTCCTGCGCGTTCTGCCACCTTAGCTCTGCTTCAGGGATGCTTGGGCCAGACAAAAGGATCTCGGTTCTGCTGAGGCAAAGTGGCACTACGTCGAGACTCTTCAAAAGGTCAGCGCATCCTCCTGACGATAGTTTCCATGTCGTAACGCCGAGAAACAGATCTTGAGAAAGTACCCCGAGTCCACGACAGCCCGGGATCTCAGCAATGAGCTGGCGTCCTTCAGTGGGGATCCTTCCAATCTTGTCATCAGCGGTGTGTATTTCGAACCTTCATCACGACCAAACATCGAACTGGATTCCATTAGCTCGCACTTCAGCTCAGGAACGTGAGTCTTCTTCTTCGGCAGGGTCAGAGTCCGACGATGAAGAGGAACAAGTCATTCGCCACCAATTTATGCCGCAATACCCTCGCGACGACGCACAGTCTACCTGGAGATCCATCCCTCAAGAATCATCCGAAGAGGATGGGAATGTCTCAGAAGATGGCCCCAAACCCATTGGTCTCCCCCGCCCGACGTCTGCTATCTCCTCCCAACAACGATACCGCACTCCCTTAGGAGGCATGTCAAGCGGTATGCCCGTTTCATACTCCCCAGCCATCCCACCACCGAACGTCGGCGCCAATTTCCCGATACAGCAACCTCTTCCTCGATACTCTACCCCTTCCGCGTTTTCACCCACAGTTCCGGAGGAATCGGTTGGAACCGGAACACCTAGCATTCCGTCATCTTTCCCAACAACGAATACCAATTCATATGTGCCTGTCCACCCTCAGCAGCACATCCAACCCTACTCGTTTCGGGCCCCGCTCCAACATCCCGGAACTGGTCCACGGACACCGCTTGGTATGCGTCGACCCAGTTCTGCGCGACCACAGCTTGAGCGGGCCGTGGAGTCAGTTCAGTCATCCCTTGCTGCTCTTCGGGAGCGTGTGGACACCCTTGAAGGTTCACATTCCAATACATCTCTCTTGCCAGGCAGTCCATCTCCTGTTGGAAATCAAATCAACCACCATAATCTATCCGCCTCGCTACACTGGGACCCAAGCGAGATGGGTCTCTGGTCTGTTATCCTCGTTCCACTCTCGAAGATCTTCTCGAAACTTCAATATCTCTTACTCATTCTCCTCACCCCACCTCCCAAAATGCGTGGCAACACATTACGATCCCTGACGAGGCGGATCGTTCTGGATGCAACGTTCATGTGGGCCTTGTTTCTGGTGCTTCGTTCCGTTTGGAGAAAGACAGGAATACGAAGACGCGAAGTGAACCGGGCATTGAAGCTCGTGATAATTGCCCTGTTAGGTCGGAGGGAGAGAATCATGGTGGATAAAGGCGTCTGATGTACCGTCCTCATTTTGAATCAATCTATCGGAATCTTGTCACTCATTATGTTACACCGATTCGCCGATTATGCTCCGCTTTTCATTTTGATTCAGGATTTATGCGGGTATTAATTAATCATGCTACAATACTTAAGGACCAGCCATGCAGTCGCTGAGGGAATGAACTCCACAGTCACCAGTCTGAATTATCCAATCACCACACGATCAGCCTTGTCCCTGCTAAGCCATCACGGAAACATTGGGAACATTTGGCCGCCACCTCCATCTTGATTTTGAGTCACAGCCGTTAGGTTTATTGGCTGCGAAACTGATGCACTGCCTCTATGCATCATAGCCTCGATGGCGCTCAGTGATGCACGCAGCTGAGGGGTATCATAAACTCCATCGGGACCCTGTTTCAGGGATATCATACTTAATCAGCCCAATCGCAATGAAAAAGGTTTGGCTATCGTCACACACTTTAACATAAGTCTCGTACTCTCCAGGTTCTTCGTCAGTCAGTTCCGGTTCCGTCTCGCACAAGCATCGTCCAAGATGTACCGTGTTGCACATTGCGGCAAAAAATATTCGATCCGGATCTCCACATCCATAGAGACATAAATTAACAGGACGGAGGCCATGGTTGAAGTGGCGGTGGTATATAAATCGTTTGATGTAGAACATGGAGTGGTTTACTGGCTTGACCGATACACCGAAAAACGCCACCTTCAGATGTGTCAATGCTTCATTTCTAGGCATCCCAATGAGGCATTCCAGGAAATTATCCATGACATCGACGTGGCCAATGAGCAATAGGTCGGTGATGCGATTCGAGCGGCCCAGCTAAGGAGAGAAATCAATAAATATACACCACAGAGATCACATCACACTCACAAAGGCAGTGAACCTGGGCTTCGTGTGCGGCCACAACGTATCTCGCAACAAGTAATCCTCAGTCCACGGTGTTCTGTTCAACGACGCCTTTAAAATTGCATCGTCTACGATTTGACGCCACACAGCTGTCTCTCCTCCATAATATGCATTTTTTTCGCCAGCGCGAATGATGAGGCACTCCAAATTTGGAGCATTCACCATGTCTAAAGCGCACGAAACGGATACGGAGTCGCAGCTGTCGAGTTGCAACAGTCTTAAATAGCGAAGCTGACCG